CTCCTTAGGCCTTCGAGGCAATCTACCATCCTTCCTTAAGAACTTTTAACTGACAGGCATTTCCGTGTTCGGGTTAATAATGTGCTCTCCCCGGACTTTATCCAAGCTGAAGGTATCCCCCAGGGATGTGTTCTGAGCACAACACTTTTTCTCCTTGCTATTAATGATTTGGTCTCTAGTCTTCCATCAAATATTTGGTCATCACTCTATGTTGATGACTTCGCTATTGCCTGTGCAGGCGCTGACTGTCACCTCATTACAGTTTCTCTCCAGCATGCAGTCGACCGTGTTTCCAATTGGGCCACCACACGTGGGTTTAAATTTTCCAGCACTAAAACCCACCAAATTACTTTCACTAGACGCTCTGTCATCTCCGATCATCCTTTGTACCTCTATGGCTCCCGTATCCCTGAACGTGATACAGTCAAGTTTCTGGGCCTCCTCTTTGATCGTAGGTTATCCTGGAAACCTCACATTACCTCTCTGAAGGCAACTTGTCACAGCCGGCTGAACCTTCTTAAAACCCTTGCTCATCTTTCATGGGGAGCTGATCGTCGAACCCTCCTTCGCCTACATTCCACCCTTATTTTATCGAAACTTGATTATGGTGACCAGATCTATTCAGCGGCATCTCCTGCTACTCTCTCTACCCTTAACCCCATTCATCACCAAGGATTACGTTTATGCCTTGGTGCTTTTCGCTCTTCCCCTGTCGAGAGCCTCTATGCAGAAGCAAACGTTCCATCCTTATGCGATCGCCGTGATGCCCATTGCCTTCGCTACTATGTACGCTCTCATGATCTCCACAATCCTTCCATTTATAGAATGGTCACTGATATTAGTAGACATTCTTTATTTGTTCGCCGCCCCTGTTTACTCCGTCCCTTCTCTCTTCGCCTTCATTCGCTCTTGTCTTCTCTTCGATTACCCCCTTTCTATGTTCATCAGGCGCGGATATAAGGGGGGCCCAGGGGGCCCGGGCCCCCCCCCCCCTTTGGCTCTCTTTGGGCTTTGGCCCAGTGTCGTAGCTGGGTTTTCATTTTGGGGCGAGGGGAAGGAGGGGCCAATCCTTTACATGGCGGGGGCATGCTCTCCCGAATTATTTGAGATTTTAAAGCCGATATATATATATATATATATATATACAGTGGACCCCCGCATAACGATGGCATCACTTAGCGATTATTTCGCATACCGCTTACTTTAATCGCAAAATTTTTGCCGCGCATACCGATTAAAAACCCGCTCACCGATTTTCGTCCGAGACGCGTCCAATGTGCGCCCTCAGCCAGCCTCACATGTGCCGCCCGTGCCATTGTTTACCAGCCAGCCTCCGCGCTAACATCCAAGCATACACTCGGAATATTTCGTATTATTACAGTGTTTCGGTGCTGTTTCTGGAAAATAAGTGACCATGGGCCCCAAGAAAGCTTCTAGTGCCAACCGTACACCAATAAGGGTAAGAATACCCATTGAAATGAAGAAAGAGATCATTGATAAGTATGAAAGTGGAGTGCGTATCGCCGACCTAGTCAAGTTGTACAAGAAACCCCAATCAACCATCGCTACTATTGTGGCACCAAAAAGACAATCAAGGAAGCTGTTCTTGCCAAAGGTTTAACTGTGTTTTCGAAACAAAGATCGCAAGTGATGGAAGATGTTGAGAGACTCTTATTGGTGTGGATAAATGAAAAACAGCTAGCAGGAGATAGCGTTCTCTCAAGCGATCATATGTGAAAAGGCTAGGAAGTTGCATGACGATTAATTAAAAAAATGCCTGCAACTAGTGATGATGTGAGTGAATTTAAGGCCAGCAAAGGTTGGTTTGAGAGATTTAAGAAGCGTAGTGGCATCCATAGTGTGATAAGGCATGGTGAGGCTGCCAGTTCGGACCACCAAAGCGGCTGAAAAATATGTGCAGGAATTCAAGGAGTACATAGAAAACTGAAGGACTGAAACCTGAACAAGTGTTTAATTGTGATGAAACAGGCCTGTTCTGGAAGAAAAATGCCAAGCAGGACCTACATTACTCAGGAGGAAAAGGCCACTCCAGGACATAAGCCTATGAAAGACAGGCTTACTCTTCTCATGTGTGCCAATGCTACTGGTGATTGCAAAGTGAAGCCTTATTAGTGTATCACTCTGAAACTCCCAGAGCGTTCAGGCAAAAGAATGTCCTCAAGGATAATTTGTGTGTGCTGTGGAGGGCAAACAGTAAGGCATGGGTCACTAGGGAATTTTTTCTATAACTGGTTACACCATGCATTTGCCCCCAATGTGAAAGATTACCTAACTGAAAGAAATTAGAACTTAAGTGCCTCCTGGTGTTAGACAATGCCCCTGGTCATCCTACAGACGTGGCAGAGCGACTTTATGGGGACATGAGCTTCATTAAGGTGAAGTTTTGCCTCCTAATACCACTCCTCTCCTGCAGCCCATGGACCAGCAGGTTATTTCCAACTTCAAGAAACTGTACACAAAAGCTCTGTTTGAAAGGTGCTTTGTAATGACCTCAGAAACTCAACTGACTCTAAGAGAGTTTTGGAGAGATCACTTTAATATCCTCAATTGTGTAAACCTTATAGGTAAGGCTTGGGAGGAAGTGACTAAGAGGACCTTGAACTCTGCTTGGAAGAAACTGGGCCAGAATGTGTAGACAAAAGGGATTTTGAAGGGTTTGAGGCTAACCCTGAGAATCCTGTGCCAGTTGAGGAATCCATTGTGGCATTGGGAAAGTCCTTGGGGTTGGAGGTTAGTGGGGAGGATGTGGAAGAGTTGGTGGAGGAGGACAATGAAGAACTAACCACTGATGAGCTGATAGATCAACTTCAAGAGCAAGAGGCCAGACCTGGGGAAACTGGTTCAGAGGAGGGGAGAGAGAAATTGAAGAAGTTGCCTACTACAAAGATAAAGGAAATCTGTGCAAAGTGGCTTGAAGTGCAAACCTTCATGGATGAAAATCACCCTCACACAGCTATTGCAAGCCGTGTTGGCAACTGTACACTGACAATGTTGTGAAACACTTTAGGGAAGTGATAAAGGAACGAGAGGTACAGGCCACTATGGACAGATATCTTGTGCGAAAGAAGTCCAGTGACTCTGAAGCTGGCCCTAGTGGCATTAAAAGAAGAAGGGAAGTAACCCAGAAAAGGACTTACTACCTCAAGTCCTAATGGAAGGGGATTCCCCTTCTAAACAGTAAGAAGATAATGCTCTCCCCTCCTCCCATCCATCAATCATCACCAGATCTTCAATAAAAGTAAGTGTCATGTAAGTGTGATGCCTTTTTCAGTTTGTGTGTATTAAAATTAATATTTCATGTGGTAAAAAAAAATTTTTTTTCATACTTTTGGGTGTCTTGCACGGATTAATTTTATTTCCATTATTTCTTATGGGGAAAATTCATTCACATAACGATTATTTCGCATAACAATTACCCCTCTTGCACGGATTAAAATCGTTAACCGGGGTCCACTGTATTATATATATATATATATATATATATATTTATATATATATATATATATATATTTTACTTTTCTAGACACAAAACTATGCAGATACTCCTTTTCAAGTGGGGGGGGGGCCCACAGCTCTAGTGAGGGAGAGGGGGGCAGACCCCCAGGCTCCCCGTAGTTATGCCATGGCTTTGGGATGCATTTAAATTTGTTTTGCAACTTTGCAAGTTTACAGACCACTAATACCTCTAGCTCCATAACAATACAAAAATGCTTTTTAAGGTTGGATACTTATAATAAACATTTGGAGCTGTATTGATGCTGAGAATAATGAGATGTGGCAAAATAAATCGTGGAAATGTCCTAACTTGAAAGAAATTTGGCATAACACCCAGAGAGGCAGGCAGGCTCTGAGAGAGCGAGGCTCAGCCTCAGCGAGCGTCAAGCAGTGTTGCATGTTGAGAGCACATGGTAACATCAGACGGCTGATGTGGCGTGACCCCGTGATGGTGAGTCACCGTCCCCCGGTATTTCAAGGCTCCAACACACATACTGACTCACTGCGAGCCGGGCACGAACCAGGACGAGAGGGTAAGGGTTCATGAACCATTCAGTGACCTTACTGCACCAGGTAAAGGGGCCAGGGCAAGATTAATACATTAGGCTATTGTGTTTATGCCTGTTTTGGGGCCTTGTGGGACAGTGCCAGAGTGGAGTGGGTTGGAGCCTTGGAGCTATGCCTGCGGTAGCCTACCGTGAAAGAGTATAATAATAATAATAATAATAATAATGATAATAATAATAAGTTATTTTTATTAGGCTAAGTTTCAACATATTTACCCATATCTCAGAGATATGGGTAAATATGTTGAAACTTAGCCTAATAAAAATAACAATCATTATTATTATTATTATTATTATTATTATTATTATTATACTCTTTCACGGTAGGCTACCGTAGGCATAGCTCCAAGGCTCCAACCCACTCCACTCTGGCACTGTCCCACAAGGCCCCAAAACAGGCATAAACACAATAGCCTAATGTATTAATCTTGCCCTGGCCCCTTTACCTGGTGCAGTAAGGTCACTGAATGGTTCATGAACCCTTACCCTCTCGTCCTGGTTCGTGCCCGGCTCGCAGTGAGTCAGTATGTGTAGCTTGAATAGCGAGATATTATCTCACTATTCAAGCTACAAAAGTGTTGAGACCACTATTGAAAACAACAGAAAATTCTGTGAGATATAGTATTCGAATCAAACTGGCAGTGAAAGTTTGTACTAACTTATTTATTATCGTTGGTACTGTATTTCCATTTTTACCCTTTTCATATTTTTTTCGTTATATAGTTTGACTTGACTGTTACTTAGTTACTTAAACGCAGCAGCCACAAAACGGTAACAACTTACAACGACAGCTATCAGTAAAGGACTATCTTTTTTTTTCATCACTCTGAAGGATGCCAGTTTCAATTTTATTGTTTCAGTGAAAATAGGTAAAGCTTTGTTGAGTTAATTCCTTCTCATTCTCACAAGGAGTGTAACATGAAGCGAGCCGGGAGTGAGAGGAAGATCACCTCGTTCTTCAAGACAAAAGTGATCCAGAAGAGTGATGATGGTGACCATGACAGCAATGAGCCCGAGAAACATCCAGGCACTTCAACATCAACAGCTGTCGAAGCTGACGTTGCCGTTAAGGAGCATGAGGACGAGGAGCTCTCTTCTACTCCTGGCACACTGACACTGCCTGCAGCTCTAGTTGACGTTGCGAGCTTCATTGGAAACAAAGTGGCTACAGACGCCAAGATAATGGCCATAATCTATCAGAAGGCCCCGTCTGCTGAATCGCTACCCCTCTGCGACGTAGGTGGTCATAGAAGGCGATTCCAGCCAAGCTGGTGCTCCACATACCCCTGGCTAAAATACTCACAGCTGAACAAGGGTGGATACTGCATAGCCTGTGTTGTGTTCGGCGGGGACACAGGCAGACTTGGAGACCAGAGGCTGGGCATCTTGGTGTTAAAACCAATGTGCAAATACAGAAAGGCCACCGAAGTGCTCAACAACCACAACGCGTGCGGATATCATGCGGCGGCTATGTCGAAAATTGAGGGGTTTGTCGACACTGTACGAAACCCGACGAGGGCTGTGGACACTATGCTACACTCGAAGAGGAAGGAGCAGGTAGAAACCAACCGGCGCCTGCTGGTTCCAGTCATTGAGACCATCCTCTTCTGCGGACGAAATATGCTGCCCCTCCGTGGACATCGGGATGACGGTCCATTGGACCTCTCTGTTCTGAGCAAGACCGGAGAGGGAGTCTTTAGAGCGCTGCTACGTTATCGAGCCCAGGGAGGAGATTCCGACCTCACCCACCTCCTCACCAGCTCTGTCAGCCGGACCAGGATTTCCACCCTCATCAGCAAGACCATTCAGAACGAGTTGATCAATATCACAGGTGGGTCACACATGGAAGTCACACCATAAAATAGCTCTCTTATTCCTCGAGTAAAATACATGCTGAGGGCAGATGTTACTGAGACCTATTTCGCTTTGCAGGTATATTGGTGCAGGAGGAGATCTTGGCAGGAGTGTCGGGGGTATATGCAGTGCTAATGGATGAGACCACTGACGTCTCAGGGAAGGAACAAGCAACCATCATCATTCGACACGTCAAAGAAGATGTCAAGGAGAATTTCCTCGCTTTCGTTCATGCCCATGACCTCACTGGTGAAGGCCTGGCCCAACTGCTCATCCACGCCGTCGAGGGCCTCGGCTTGTAGATGTCAAAATGCCGAGGGCTAGGCTTCGACGGAGCGAGTGCCATGATGGGAAGTTCAGAGGTTTGTGCCGCCATCATCATGCAGCAATACCCCTGGCGAAACCGATCCACTGTTTCAGGTCACCGACTGAACCTGGTGCTGACTAAGGCCTGTGATGTCAAAGAAGTCAAACTCGCCCTCCAGACGCTGAATGAGGTGTACAACTTCATCCATTCCAGCAACATGCGGACGCTTCGGTTTACCAAACTCGTGAAGCTATCCTCAGCCAAGCGGGAAAAGCTGGTGCCCCTGTGCCCCACCAGATGGGTTGAGCGGCACGATGCTGTCCTCGTGTTCATCGAGTTTCTGCCTCTCATCGCTATTTTTCTGGAGGATGAGATGAAGTTGGATGCCAACGCCGGACTCCTACTCGCTGAGATTCGGGACCCCCGCTTTCTCGTTGGGTTGGTTGTGGCCGAGTCCGTTTTGGCACACATGCTTCAGCCAAGCAGAACCCTACAGAAAAAGGAAGGTGACCTGGTATGTGTGTACGCACTGATTCGTGAAATCGGGACTCTATTCTCCAAATTTAGAGCGGATGCCGAGGAGTACTTCCACGCTGTGTTCGTGAAAGCCAAAGATCTTCTAGTTGAAGTGGGCTCAGCTCACGATGACGTCCCTATTCCCAGAGTCTGTGCACGACAGACACAATGCGCGAATGTCCCAGCGGCATCTGCTGAGGAGTACTATCGGCGCTCGGTGTATATTCCGTTCGTTGACCATGTGATCGCTGAGTTGAAGAGCAGATTTGATGATGACACTGTGCCCGTTGCTCTCCGATTGAAGGAGCTGCTCAGGGGCTCAAAAGCAAACGTGGATGCTGTTCTTAAAGCCACTAAACTCTATGAAAGTGACGTTGAGTCACTTTTGCTCGTGCAGACGGAAACACAGCGGTGGACATGTTCCGCTCCGGCCTTCGAATCTGTCAAGAAAGCAAAGGAATACGCCGAGGCCGGGGGCCCATATGTTTCCGAACATCGCGAAGCTCCTTACCATCCTACTGACCCTGCCAGTCTCAAATGCAGAAGCCGAACGATCGTTCTCAGCCCTGAAACGTCTGAAGACATACTTGAGGAGAACCATAGGTCAGGATCGCCTCAACGGCCTCGCACTACTCGCCGTCCATAACGATGTATATGTTCCTGTTGATCGTGTGATCAACAAGTTTACGGAAAGGAACCGCCGTCTTCTCTTTGCTTAGGCTGCAGTGTGATTAATCCTTTCAGTGTAATAACTTTTGCATGTTACTTTTAAGGCTACTATTATAGGTAATATTATAAAGTATAATGCTTACTGTCTTAAGCAGGTATATATATATATATATATATATATAAATATATATATATATATATATTTTATATATAATATATATATATATAGTATATATATATATACAGGAGGGCCCCGCTTTATGGCGTTTCACTTTACGGCGTTCCGCTAATACGGTCATTTCAAATTATGACCAAAACTCGCTATACGGCTCCCCCCACCTGACTTTGTAATACGGTCACCGCGCCCCACCCTGTTTGTTTACATTCTTCGTGAGCTCAGTAAGCACTAAGTCTCTCCATTTTGTCTGGAAACTCCAAAATTTCAAATGTTTTTAAAAGTTATTTCATATTTTATATATACTCTGATAATTATACTTATGTAATACCTGTACTTAAATAAACTTCATACTGTGCTGGCATGCAGGTACACATTAAAATCAGTAAGAGTGTCTTATGTCCCCAGACGCATATTAGTAATGTTTATAATAATTATCGAGTCTCATTAAATGTCGTATATTACGTTAAATACACATTTTCATTAATCCATCTATGATATTTTTTCAAAATTATATAATAAACACGATACATAACTTTAAAAAGATGATAATAAAACCCCACAATAGAATAAATAAACATAAATATGAGATGTGGTTTGCAGAGGGACTTGCACAAGTGACGCCATATTAGAAATGATGATAATAATAATAATAATAATAATCACCGAGTCTCATTAAATGTTGTATATTACGTTAATATACACATTTTCATTTAATTCCATCCATTATATTTTTTTCAAAATTATATAATAAACACAATACGTAACATAAAAAGATGATAAATACACCCCACAATAGAATAAATAAACATAAATATGAGAAGTGGTAGCCAGATAACTTGTAACAAGTGATGCCAAGAATAACATTTTCTCAAATCTAAATAAGAGAAAATGTGTTACTGGGGGTAACTGTAGAAAATTATTCCTTTCGTATGTATGAAAGTTTTTCATGTATACACAAATACAGTTACATGATTATCATACATAACAACATATGTGTAGAGAACCTAGGAAAACCCCAAAAAAAGTCAGAGTGACTTATTTTCCATTACCTTCACTCAGAGCTTCATTTCTTCTCAAAATGATGTTACATGAGAATGGGAGTGCTCTTCTTTATTTATTCTACCGTATCAATGTAGAGACAACCTGTACACAATGTAACTTGTACACAAACCAGACGTGTACACTTTGTTACAAAACTTACCTTCGCCTGGTTTGTTTACATAACTCTGTGCCTGTACTCTCTCATGGCACTCATTCTTTCTCTCTTCATTTATTCGTTTTATCTCATTTACTTACTCCTGACCTACATTAAGACTACAAATATTTTAAGGAAAGTAATGAGTGAACTGAAATACATTTTATCGCTCTGGGATGCTTAAATGTAATAGAATATTATGTGTAGGTGGGTTGGCCTGGTATGGTAGCCCGGCTGACTACCATACATACCACACTTGATTTTTTACAATAAATATATTCATCTCACCCTATATTTTAAGGTAAGTAATGAGTGAACTGTTTTATACATTTTATCGCTCTGGGATGCTTAATATCATAGAATTGTATGTGTGGGTAGGGTGGCCTGGTATGGTACCCTGGCTGACTCCCATACATACCACACTTGATTTCTTACAATAAATACTTCTTGTCTCACCTTAGATTAAGACGATAAATATTTTAAGGTAAGTAATGAGTGCACTATGTGTGTATTGTACTTTTTTTTTGGGTTTTTTTATGCCTGGTTTATTGCTAACTTTAATATATGTTAGTGTAAAATTGTTACCTAGTGTTTGTATGCATTTGTAAGTGGAAAAAAAAAGGGTGATCCACTTTACGGCGGTTTCCGCTTTACGGCGGTAGCCTGGAACCTAACCCGCCGTATAAGTGGGGCCCTCCTGTGTATATAGATATATATATATATATATATATATATATATTTTATATATATATATATATATATATATATATATATATATATATATATATATATAAATATATATATTCCACATTTAAGTTAATGTCTAATGTAAAAGTCTCTAGCTATTAAATTCTTACTTTCAATAAAGTTTTAATAAGATACAAAATTCCTCACATTGTAAGGTCAGTGTTTTTTTTTTTTCTCAGAAAAATCGGCCCTCTCATTTGGATCCGAAGAGAAACACTGGCACCTAGAGCAGATGGTTATGCCCATTCATTTAGGTCAGTCCGCCAGTAATTAACAAATAAGAATCCTGTTAGTGGAGAAACGGTAATGCTAATGCTCTTTAAACAACCGAAAATTCTGCCGTCGGGCCCCCCCCCAAACTTTGTTCCTAGATCCGCGCCTGATGTTCATGTAGCATCTCACTTTTCCCTACCTCCCTGGGAAGTTCCAGCTGTTCGAGTCTGTTCTCTCTCTCTCCCTTGCTCGAAAGCCCAACTGTCTACGGTCGCTTCCCGCTCTCTTTTTCTTGACCACTTTCACTCTCATTCTCATGCCATTGCTGTGTACACAGATGGCTCTAAGTCTTCTGACGGCGTAGGATTCACAGCAGTGTTTCCGGACAGCGTCGTACGAGGGCATTTACTATCTTCGGCTAGTATTTTTACTGCTGAATTGTATGCCATCCTTGCAGCACTTATCCGTATTGCATCTATGCCTGTGTCATGATTTGTGGTTGTCTCAGACTCCCTTAGTGCTTTACAGGCTATACAGAAATTTGATACACCTCACCCCTCACTTTGGCTACGCCGCATCTTTACCAAGCATAAAGATATTGTTTTTTGTTGGGTCCCTGGTCATGTTGACGTACAGGGCAATGAACAGGCAGACACTGCTGCGCGGTCAGCAGTACATGACCTACCAGTTTCATATAGAGGTATTCCATTTACGGACTATTTTGCTGCAATATCTTCCCACCTTCACACCCGTTGGCAACACCGTTGGTCTGCTATGCTCGGCAACAAACTTCAATCTATTAAACCAAGTATAGGTTACTGGCCGTCTTCTTATCACCAGTGTCGAGGTTGGGAGACTACTCTCTCCCATCTTCGCATTGGCCATACTCGTCTTACTCATGGATATCTCATGGAGAGGCGCCCTGCTCCTCTCTGTGAGAATTGCCAAGCTCCATTATCAGTCAGCCACATTCTGTTGGACTGCCTACTTTATCAACGAGCACGCAGAATTTACCTCCGTCGTCGTCTTCGCTCCACTGCTCTCTCTTTACCTTCCCTTCTCGCTGATGGACCCACCTTTCATCCGGACTCTCTCATTGACTTTTTGACAACAACTGACTTACTTCACAAATTCTGATACCTTCAGCCCTTTCTACTTCAATCTCTTGCTACCCTCTACCCCCGTACTATCCCCTGCCCCGCCGTTTTCTGTAACCTACTGATCATCCCTTCTCCCTTCTGCCATCCAATACCCTCGCTTCCTTCCCTACCCTGCAGCGCTGTATAGCCCTTGTGGCTTAGCGCTTCTTTTTGATTATAATAATAATATTGTAAGAAATCAAAGTGTGGTATGTATGGTAGCCAGCCGGGCTACCATACCAGGCCACCCCACCCACATAATATTCTATGACATTTAAGTGTCCCAGAGCTATAAAATGCATGTACAGTTCACTCATTACTTAAAATATTTGTAATCTTAACCCCTTCAGGGTCCAAGGTCCAAATCTGAAGTGGTGCACCAGTGTCCAAGAATTTAAAAGAAAAAAAATTATTTTTTCTTATGAAATGGTAGAGAATCTTTTTGTGAAGGTAATAAAACAAAAA